GTGTGGGTGTGGGTGTGGGAGTGGGTGGGGTGTGGGTGGGTGCGAGTGGGTGTGGGTGTGGGTGGGTGTATGTGGGTGTGGGTGGGTGTGAGTGGGTGTGGGTGTGGGTGGGTGTATGTGGGTGTGGGTGGGTGTATGTGGGTGTGGGTGGGTGTGGGTGCGGATGTGGGTGTGCGCGTGGGTGTGAGTGAGAATGTGGGTATGGTTTTAGGTCTTGTCTTCACCGACACCCACACGCACACTCACCCCCCACTTACACCCACACCCACCACACCCACACCCACCACACCCACACCCACCACACCCACACCCAACCACACCCACACCCAAAACACATTAAAATGCATTAAAATACATTAATAATAATAAAAATACATAAAAATACATTATTCGAAGGCTATCGAAGAATGCAGTATGGTGCACTCAGACTCAACATCAAGAGTATTAAAAAATACCGACAAAATACGTTAGATTATATTAAAACAAAGTCTTATTTGCTCGCTTGAAAAAGAAAAACAATTCGAAAGGTCTCGCGTTAATAATTATTCATTTGTTTATTTATTTATTGATTTAATTCTTCTCTCATTTTATTCTCTTTTTTTCTTCTTTCTCTAGTTCATATCTCTTTTCCAATAAAAATAAAGCAAAATTAAAACAGAAATATTTAAAAAATTAAAAAAAACTCATGTTGATTTGTTATTTTTGTAAAGATTTGCTGTGAGCAATCAGAAACTGGACAGATGTCACCACAAGTGGCTGCACACAGACCACAACAGGTTAAATGATAACACCCGAGAAACATAATACATGATTCGTTTTCATGACATATTACGCATGGCCCATAGTTGACCTGAACCAATTGTTCCTCTGGTGGCTGTCTTGTGTTTGCGGGAGGCATTCTACGATCAATGAAGCCAAAGAAAATATTTTGCAAGTTGTTTTTTAATAATACAATCAAAGTACCTGTTTCAGGCTGTAAATGACCCAAAGAACTATTGAATGAAGCCATCACACTAGCTGTATTTTCCTCATTTGACTGTGCAGATTCTTGCGAATCAGGCTGTGATTGCTGATCCATGTTCCGTTATTTTGGCAGGTATACAAGTTTTAGACCGTAAAAATGTTTTATTTGCGTGTGCTCAAGCATGTTCTCTTCCTTTATCGCCGAATATCTTTCCATTCTTTTACTACCTCCTAGGAATTGAAACCGCATGAGTCAGATTTTCGTCATTTTTTCTTTCTTTTCATAAAATACCGCTTAAATTTTGCTTTGTTTTCGCAGAATGGCAGTTGCATCATTTCCAAATAAGCTTGCCCCTCTACGACATATAGATTATATACGCGTTAAGTTCCATCTAGTAACAGAGAATGATTCAAATGTTAGAATCTAAAGTATACTCTAAATTAAGTCTCGAGCATTAAGTTTACCGTTGAAGATGTCCTTGACAAATATAATCTTTGCTTGAAAAACCGGTTCTTCTCATAGAATTTTGTTGTTGATTGCACAATCATCACGACCGTGCAAACTGTGAAATTGAGTTTGAGAGCACAAAACGCATGGAGTTTATGCAGCGAGTGGGGTCTAATGATGGCATTGATAGCGTGTCAAGCAAATCTTGACCCATTTGACTGAGCTTCGAGATGCGTAAACGGAATTGACATTGAATAACGATGAGTCCGGCATCGGTTGAACATTTAGAAAAATCGAACTACATATCGCACAGTCCAAATCGGTCAAACAAGTGGAAGTAATCTATGTTTTCCACATGTAGAGTCAGTCTATTCTCCTAGAACCAAGCACTAGACATCCATGCCACTCTCGCTGCTCATACAGCAATTAGTTCGACGATAAGTTTTCAACAGAGCGGAAGTTAGAGTGTTTTGTTCAACAAGGGTGTGGATGCGTGCGTGTGAGTGTGTATGGTGTAGCTATGGGTGTAGGCGTGAGTGTGGGTGTGTGAAGTGTGTGAGTATTGGTGTGAATGTAGGTGACGTGTGGATGGGTGTGGATGTGGGTGATGTGTGAGTGGTGTGGGTGGGTGTGGAGGGTGGGGGTGTGGATGTGGTGTGGGTGGTGTGGGTGTGGGGGTGGGCGGGTGTGGGTGGGGGGGGGGGGGGGTGTGGGTGGGGGTGTGGGTGGGGGTGTGGGTGTGGGTGTGGGTGTGAATGTGGGTGTGGGTGTGGGCGTGGGCGTGGATGTGAGTGTGGGTATGGTTTTAGGTCTTGGCTTCACCGACATCCGCATCCACACCCACACCCACACCCACAACTCACACCTACATCCACACCCACACCCACACTTCACACCCACACCCACACTTCACACCCACACCCACACCTCACACCCACACCCACACCCACCCACACTTACCCACACCCTAATGAGTGGTTATCCTCAACATTTAATTAAAAGAGGCATAAGAGAAGCAGAAATAATTACTAATAAAATAAAATCTCAAAAAGAACAATTACATAAACTGCAACAAAAGAAAAAATTTATTTTTTACTTTCTTATTATGGTCATTAATCCATAGTATTATACCCAGTGAAAAATATTCACTGATTTCAATTGGATTTTTCTGCAACAAAACCAAAATTAAAATCGATTGATAATATTGATTATCGTTAATCATAACTTAACTATTACTTGATATTATTACTTATCTAGTGGGAAATTTTCTGATTAAAATCGGATTATTTTGCAAGAAAATCGAAATTATTAATCGATTTATAATCTTGATTTTGCTGCAGAATAGTCTGACTTTAATCAGAAAATTTCACACTGGATAAATAATAATATCAAGTAATAGTTAAGTCATGATCAACGATAATCAGACTTATCAATTGATCTTAATTTTGATTGTGTTGCAGAAAAATCCGATCGAAATCATTGAATATTTTTCACTGGGTTAGCTCAGAGAATAAAACGATTATGCAAAAGACTATCGCCATTAATTGAAATTAATGTATGCTTTAGAAAAACATCTACAATTAAAAATGTATTTCTTCCTACTCAGAAAGGACCTGATGAACTAAAAAGAAAAAGAAATTAGTATATAAAATTCCATGTTTAAACTGTGACAAATGTTATATTGGTGAAACTAATAGAGAAAAATGCGAAAACCTCGGATTTAAATTCGAGTGTTATGTGTACTTCAAAAAGTGACCAGGTATATTCACTTTGTTTTTTATCATCTGAGACATATCTAGGCAATTTGCTTTCTGGATGCAGTTCTTGTGCATTTTGAGACCTTTTTCAGGCGATGTTTTGTTATAAAGCTACGATTTGGTTCAAAACTAATATCAGATTCGGAATCAGCGGCAAAAACTAAGCCGATTTATATATGTTGTGAATAATTCTGAGAAATTCTTTTTTTTTGAAAAAATCCCTGTACCCCCCTCAGGGATGGTCTGGTCAATGATGACAATTTTTTCGATAACTCAGCCATTTCTTGACGGATCCTTCTCATCTTCGAACTTGACCGAGACATTGATGAGACTGAACTGTGTAGAAAATTTCATCACGATCTGGCTCTCCTTTCGAAAGTTATCGTGTAAACGGACGGACGGACGGACACACTGACTGATTCTAGAGTGTACTCACTTTTTGAGTATACAAAAAGAAATTAGAATGGAAGAATACAAAGCTGATATTAGAAAATAGACACAAGGTTATAATGTAGCTAAACATGCTAAAGCAAATAAACATTCATTTAATTTTATACAATCCGAAACATTAGCTTTAGAAACAAACTGGAGACGAAGAATTGTTAAAGAGAGTCTCTTTACACATCAACTGCAAGGTAAAGCCTTAAAGAACGTAAAATTTAAACTAAGTATATTCCTATAAGTTATGCCTTCGGGCAATTTTGGTGACCATGACAAGTTCTATGAACAATATTAATAATTCGAATTATTAACATTGTTTCATCTTTTTCTTTTGTTCTCTTGTTACTTCTAATTAATATTGTAATATTTATATAGAATGTTATGTTGTTTTTTCGATATTCCTGATGATGATAAGAGTTTCTTATCAAAAGCTTGAATAAAATAACTTATGATTTTTGTTTAAAATCTATTATGTACTTTGTAGCAGTTTTATGCTCAATATTCTATAAATGATGATGATGATGTAATTTTCAAGCTTGAAAAACAAGAAAAACTTTATCACAGGTCGATCATTCCGATCTCCGGAAGCGGCGTCTTATCTGATCTGAAACAGCTATAAAACGGTGAACTACTGCCTTAATTTTGGTCTTATTTCGCTGTAATCCGTCATACCGTTTTACGAGCCGTTTTTATCGCTAGAAAACGGTCATCGTTTTCCCCCAGTTTTGCTTCTGTAATCTGGTATGACGGATTACGGCATCGTTTTTCAACGTTTTACATCGTTATTACGCCGTTTAAGGCCATTTACGACGCCATATTATTGGACCTGGGATCTCGATTGGACGTATCGAGAAATGAAACATTTACTTTCACTTCAAAATCTTATTGTGGATCATCCAGTATTTAAAAACAAATCAAATAATCCAAAACCAGCACAACTTCAAAACAATAATAATAACAATGAAGATGATAAAAAATCAGATAAAAAGGTAAGAAGATAATCCGAAAAGTACACATAATATAAATTTTTTTTTTAATAGGATGATAACATTACTGGTATTGGTAATACGATTATTACTTCACGTGTATCACCAACAACAACAGTAAATGATACAACTGCTGATGACGATAATAATGACGAAGATTAATTGCTTTTGGTCGTGGTTATATTCTTATGTAAATCCATTTTCTTTTTTTATATTTTCTTATAAGTTTAATAGTTTGTTTTTTGAACAAATTTAAGTTAATCTATTTGTTTATTTTATTTAATCAAGAAGAAAATTAAATAAAACTAGGTTGTGTATAAAAGATTAATATTTGCTTTTAATTTAATTTGCTAAAAATATCAAAAAGATAACAAACATTTGAATTTTCATAAATTCATTATAATGAATCTACAAAAACAAAGTATCATATGATTTTATTTGCTCAGATAGGATTCAAAACATACTGATAGATATTTATAAACAAGTGAATTTAATAATATTAATTGTAATGCTTTAGAATCCAAAACAAAATTTAATAAAAGTTTTTTATCTTGATAATCAAAATATTTAAATGTAATTCTAATTATATAAATACAGACTAATAATTCCACTTTTTTCGAACAATAAATTGGCTTCTTTAAAACGATTTTCATGAATGTGTGCTTTATTAAATGTTGTATCTACTAAATAATTGGTGATTATTGTATAGAATCTATCAAAATTATATAATATTAATTATATTTCTTTATTTAAATAAATATATAATTAACATAGGAGAGTTTCATTTAAATTGAAAATTTATTTTTCTCAATAATCACAAACAGTATATAATTAAGATCATTAAGAAAAATAATGAAATTAAATCCTTTTTGTGTACTCAAAAAGTGAGTACACTCTAGAATCGGTCAGTGTGTCCGTCCGTCCGGCCGCCCGTCCGTCCGTTTACACGATAACTTTCGAAAGGGGAGTCAGATCATGATGAAATTTTCTACACAGTTTAGTCTCATCAATGTCTCGGTCGAGTTCGAAGATGAGAAGGATCTGCCAAGGAATGGCTGAGTTATCGAAAAAATTGTCATTATTGACCAGACCATCCTTGAGGGGGTACAGGGATTTTTCAAAAAAAAAACTTTTCTCAGAATTATTCGCAACATATATAAATCGACTCAGTTTTTAACGCTGATTCCGAATCTGATATTGGTTTTGAACCAAATCGTAGCTTTCTAACAAAACGTCGCCTGAAAAAGGTCTCAAAATGCAAAAAAACTGCACCCAGAAAGCAAATAGCCTAGATATGTCTCAGATGATAAAAAACAAAGTGAATATACCTGTTCACTTTTTGAAGTACACATAACACTCGGATTTAAATCCGAGATTTTGGCATTTTTTTAATATTCTTTCAAAGAGCAATATTTGTTGAATTTTAGTTTAATATTTAATATAATATTTCTATATTTTTCTTTTTTATATCTTGTAACATATCATTGACAGGAAATAGGAAATTCAAAAAAAATATAAAAATAAAACGCTTTTTTTCGAAATTTTCTCATGATTACCAATAATGTGAACAAATTCATCTAGCAGAGAAGATTTATCAGCAAAAACAAAAAAATAGAAAGATTTTGTTTTTTGCTCTAAACCAGTCGATTTGTCGTGTGACAACATTTTGTTATTAGATCCGTTTAAAATAAGAACAAAAAAAGCTCTGGTTCACAAAAAGTCTTATTCATATTTGTCTTATTTCCTTAAATTGTACATAAATAGGTGTAAATAAAAGCAATATAATGATAAATCTAATCTCTATTGAAGCATACTACACTTGGAAAATTTTTTTTTTATTTAAATGATTTTATTTCATCTAATCAACATGATTTAAATATATATCTAACTTTTACAAATTTTTGTCTGTTATTGATACAATTAATAACAAAAAAAATAATGATTATAATAAAGAAAAATATTGATGAAAATTTTCTGGAGGAACAAATGGTTCAGAAATTTCAAGACATTTCAATTTGCTACAAGTAAGACGTGCTGCATCATTGGTAAAATTGTTTGTAACTATTGCGAGTGATTCATATCCAATGATAAGATTCAACAAACAAGGTAGATGAGTATTTTTATCGATGAGAAATTGTTCAACATAATCAATATGTGCTACTTCAAGATCGAGAAAAATAAGATGACGAAATGTAATCAATGTAGACCAATGTTGTTTATTTTGTTGTCGTTGAGAATTTAATATATATAATTCTTTGAGAAAAGGAAAATCTTGAGAGATTACTTGAAAGAAATTATGTTCAAATGGATATATTAAATCAAGCATCATCAAGCATCGAACTTTATCAAGTTTGCCACCTTGAAAAGAATTGTTTAAATAAATAAAGTTTTCAAATTGATATGGAAGTGAATAAACATGGCACGTGCCTACGTCGTTTGTTCCAATAGTTTGAACAATTGAACCAACTTGTCCATATTGTCTTCCAATAAAACTACGTTGAATTTCTTCATTTGATTGAAGATCAGTTTTAATATTTTTGTGTTGAAAACTTCTGTATGAATATTGAAAGTAAATTTGTTTAATTTTTGCATATAAATAAGTATTTGATCGTGTAATTGAATTCCATCAATATAAGATGAGTCAAATTTTTTTACAAATAAAAATAATTTCAATTCTTCCAAATTTATCATTCGATGAAGTAATGGAATAATTAATTTGTTATAAGTCATTGTCTGTCTACAGGAAGCCAATGAAAAAGATTTCAATTTAGGAAGTTGTTTCTATGAAAAAAAAAACAAAAAATTTATAAATGTTCATCTATTCAGTTTCATATTTTTTTTCAAAAAATAAAATATCGAAACTGAACTAACCGTATTCTGTATGTTTGATATTATATATGAAATTTCTACCACACAAATAATCAATGTTAATAAAGAATTTAATCGTTCATCAAGAAGATAAAGACAATCATCAAATGTTTCGACATTAATATTCAATGTAGTTAAAGTTGAAGACATACAACTTGTTGATGATTGTTTGAAAAAATGAATCGCCAAGCATCGATAACGAGATGATGCACATAAATTTAAATAGATCAATCGTTTACATAATGATAAAATCAAGACAAATATCTTTGGTAAAATTTTAGTCAATGGTGGTTTTCTTGTCTTTATTTCAATATCAATATAGAGATGTGTAATTTGTTTAGAAAGAAGATTATAGAGATTTGAATTACCTTAAATTTAAAAATTAAAAACAAATCTTAATTTATATTTTAATAATTTACCTTTTAAATATTGTAGAAGTATTTTTTTCTTGAAAATCAACAAGTGATAATGAATAAAGTTGAGGATAATTAAAAGTAAGAAGACGATCGATTGAATGTGAGTCAATAGTAAGTTGATTTACTTGATCATGAATTCGAGGGAAGATATTTTCACAAATTCTTGAAAGAACTTGATTATCGATTGAGAAGATACGATCAAATGCTGATTTTATGGTCATTGTGGTCATATTAAGATGACGAATATAGAGATGATCAAGTATTAATTGATCAAATCGTTCATTAACATCGACAAGTGAATATAGAACATCGACCATATTCAGTTTCTTGCAAATCATAAGTAAAATTTCATTGGGCAAATCAAATATATTGAGATCATTATTATTTGCAATGTTCATGTTTAATTCACTCTTAATAACTAGTCTTTTCAATTTATATATGTTTCTATTTTCCTATTTTTTTGTTTTTTGGATATGCTGATGTTTATGTCGTTTGTCAACGCTTATAATGATATATGCGTCGTTTCTCGGGGACAAATATACTTATCGGCCCCCCCCCCCTCATCTATTGACTTAATTCGACTAATTAGACCTTGGGGAGTTCATTAAACGTATTTCCAAAGGTCCCAGATCAATAGGTTAAGAGATAACCTAATTTTAAAAACTTGAAAATAGATGGCACCAGAGTCGAATCAACCGGAGAAAAATATCCAAACAATATCACAAGAAGGAAAATATCTAAATGAGTAAAACGAAAGAAAAAAAGATATATGTTTGTCGTATGTGTCATCTGTGGGTGAGTATGGGTATGGGTGTGGGTGGGTGTGGCTGTACTTCAAGAAAAGATTAACATACCCACACACCCGCACTCACACCCACATGGCCGACCATGAGTGGGGATCTGGTGATTTTTAATTATTTAACTGTTTGTTTGATACACTTCTTACATTTTATTTCAAAAAATAAACCTTTTATGCAATTTTAAACTCAAGTCTAATTCTTCACATGTGTCTCCTAAACTATCGGTCTAGGACCTCTGGGAATACTTTTAATGAACTTCCCAGGATCTAATTAGTCGAATTAAGTCAATAGATGAGGGGGGGGGGGGTCGATAAGTGTATTTGTCCCACATTTTTCTTTCAGTCTAACATTTTCGCGTTATTCATTATCAGTGCATTCGTCAGGTCATTCTTTTTGTCACAATGTTCAATAAACATGTTTTATTATGTAGGATCCTCTCTGAGAAAGATTGATGAGTTTCTCTCTCTTTCATTTTTCTATCTCGTTCTTTTTCTTTTTCTATTTCTCTTTGTTTTTTCTTGTTTTTCTCTAATATGTTGAACGTCTATGTTCTTTTTTTCCTTAGGGATCAAACACACTAGAAAAAATAAAACTGAAGTAAGCAACATGATTGGTTAATTCAGATTTAATTATATTTTTGAGACAAATTAGTAGTTAATTTAGTTTTATTTTTTTGCTAGTGTATTTGACGCCTTATGGATTAATGTATAATTATCTTTTTGTATTGCTCTTAATATACCATCTCATGTATCTCGCCTTGTATTCTATACTTGTGAATAAACATATTAAATGACACAATAAATATTTATGTAAGAAAAATCACTTGGATCGCTCGGTATATATTATCTTATCAACAACGAAATGTGAAACTATTTTCAAACAGCCACCTTCATAGATTTCTGCTCGGTTTGCTAAAATTTCACCGATCTAAGAGTGTTTTTTATAACCGATCGGACCGGATCGTTTTGTTTTAGCATGAATCGAAATTATTTGTATGTTTTTCGTTTAGTCATCTAACAGATTATAAATCAGACAATATCATCGCTCACTAAGTTGGGTCCTGACAGTTGGTAGTGTGTCGATTTTTGATTTCAATCAGTATGAATCTTAGTCCTCATTTTTCTCTTTATAAAATTCCTACAGTAAACATGATTGAATCTATCGAATTGAGTTGTACATTGAAAAAATATTATTTCTTATCTGATTAAAAGGGTTCTAACATTTAACAGAGTTCTATAAACTAATACCAAAAGAAATAGTAAGTTCAATTTTATTACAAAAAGTTATCATGTGCATTTAATTATGCAAATATACAATAGAAAAATAAGAATTGTAGTCTTTATTTTCTAAATATTATTAGAGATTTTCTATCGAGATTGCTGCCAAGAGGGTAGCAGACCTTTTTTTTCTTGAAATCTTTTCTGAAGTTGAAATGATTAATGTTCATTATATCTGAATGGAGGAATCGTTCTGTTCACATGTGATGTATACTTCAAAGAAGAAGGAATCTTTCTGTAGATACGAAGTTAGTTCTTTCGATCATGTTGATTTTCAATCTTCGATGTCATACTACTCATATTTTAGATCGATGTATGAAATCAACAACAAGCATTTCAGTTAGTATTAACTGGTCGAATAAGGATAATACATTGGCAGAATTCACGTTATTTGTAAGGAAAAATTAGCGAATAGACCATTGATACTTATAAAAGATTCTAAGGAAATCTATTGTTATTTTGAAAAAATTGGGATATATTTCGAGCAGAAAGGAAAACTATGTTTTTGCGTTGACAATGATCGACATTTACCTTTTTCTTCTACTGTAACTCGACTTTAGACTGTAGGTATTGCTCCTTAATTCCAGATGACACAAACGAAAAGAAAGAGTTCTTTATTCGATGTACACATCATTGGGCAAGTTCATTATTTCTCTCTATGTCCATTGACCTCTTTTAAGAAAATTTGTTGAAGAGAAGAAAAATCTCTATGTAAATGAAATATATTTCTGATAATTAAAAAATAAAAACCTATTCATATTAAACGAAATTATAAATGATTTTTATAGTTGTTGTAGTTAGAAAGAAAGAGAACAGCTCAAATAGAGAAGTTTTTCAAAAACAAAAGCTTTTATAGGCGTAGAAATTTCATTAAAACAACATTTATGGGAATTTTCAACGCATTTAAACGCACTAAGGATAAATGAAGCTGTTGAAATGTGTATTTTTTTCTCGAGTCACGTGCTTTTACGAGTTTCTCTGGTCGTCTCTACCAGTTTTATTCCGTTCATGGTTTCATACGTGCTTGAATGCAAGAATTTCGATTGAAACACATGGTCTTATGCATTGATTTTTAGAGCTCGTTTTACTGATTAAACTTTAAATTATTATCTCTTTTTTAAAGCTAGATTTATCATGCCTTTACGGATTTGTTACTTAAAAGATTCTAGAAGCCGAAATTTTCGTAGATTCTTAGTACATTCACTTTCAAATAACTGATATGTTTAGCTAATTATTATACAACTAATTAATCTCTCACCTTTTTGTCATAATTATTTTCGAAAATTAGAGAAAATCTAGCAAGTCTTACAAATGACATCTCAAGTACCTTTTGGTATTTAAGAATCAAATATGATAGTTTTATTTTCACAGTTGACTGATGTACTGTGATGTTGCAATACGATTTTTAGAGGTTAATTTCGATTCTATTGAGAATAATGAGCATGTTTTGTATACTTTTAAAACTTTTTCTCATGTAGTTAAAGTTGTCACGATCAATGATCGGAAATGACAATACAATTTTAATTATTTAATGCAACAATAGAAAGACAAAATCGATCGAGTGTATAATTCAAGAGAGAACATCAATAGTAAAAAGTGCAAGACAGAGATTTCACAGAATAACAGGGTTGCATGTTGAAGAAATATGTTACCATCAAATGTAGACACAGCGTGATTGTTACTCTCAGTGGTAATGTTTGGTTGTAATTATTTCACGTACAGCTATAACTTATTCAGAAGCAAATCGATCAGAAAACAATGAAAGTTGTGCAGTGGAATAAATGGTAGTCTTACCGTTTTTCTAAATATATGAATTTGTTCTCGTCATTTCGAAACAAGCTTCTCTTATAAAAATATTCATCGTTTAACTTTCTACGAAATTATGTCTTTCTATAAAAGAATGCATAATTTTGTAGATTTTCGATATGCAGTACTAACGACGACTGGAAAATATACAACTTTCCAAGTTAGTCTTTACGGAATTTTACTATTACACTTTTTAATTGTTCAAGTAATATTATTTTTGACTTTCATCTGTTACTATTCCTGATTTAAAAACTTTAATTCGTATTGACTAGTCTAACTAATTTGTAAATTAATTGTTCAAAGACTAAGGGTCTTTATTAATACAAGAAAGAAAGTCGTGTCAAAGCATCATCATTGTATTGAATGATGGCATGAAATTTTGTACTATTGTGCTTAAATATTCAATCATTTCTAAACACCTTATTCTTATCGTTTTTGGTACGTGAGCTGCTTGTATGGTTTAACAAACGTGAACGAGATATGGTTCCTATGGAAAAATTAAAATTTTAGCAATTTCATGGGAAGTCAAGAGTCAGCCTTTAATCCAACGCGGATTCTTGACATCGCTTTCCATCGTGTATTGATAAGGATCATTGATCTTCGAACAATCAATGTACCAATTAGTTAGACTAGTCAATATGAACCAAAATTTTCTAGTCATGAATAGTAACAGATGAAAGTCGAAAAACTAACATTACTTGGACAATAAAAAAATGTATAATAATAAAATTTCGTAAAAAGACAAACTTGGAAAAGTAGTATATTTTTTAGTCATCAGTTGTGCTGTGTATCGAAAAACTATAAATCATGCTTTCATTAATAGAACTAGACGATTATTGTAGAGAATTAAAAGATGAATCTTTTTATAAGAAAACTTTGCTTCGAAATGATGAGAATAGGCTATGATATTGAGAAGAAGAACGAAAGATTTCCGAGAGAAAAGAATTGATGATTTCATGAAAATGACGTAAGTTTCGACAAAAAAAAAACATCAATCGAATTCTTTTGATAAAGTAGTAGCGCAATCAGAAATCTTCAGGTAGACGGGCATCGTCCAACTAACTTTTGAAAGTATATTTACGATCATAAAGATTATTTATTTGTTGTAAAACAAAAGTGACGATAATTTTTTTCTTCTTTCAGAAAAAATTTAAAAATAATGCTACATATATTTCATTCTGTTTCAATCTTCGATAACAGACATATAACATTATCAGTATTGTGATCGAATGGTGAATTAACTAATACGACAGCTGTAACAGCCAGTTTCAAATATAAATTATCGGTATAACTGAAGCCTAGCTATAAATTGTAGCCATTCAAAAAGTAGAATTATCTTTAGTTCTCTTAAGTCCATTCTTTCTTCAATTAATTTGATGAGTCCTTTATCAAGATTGTTTATAACTGTAATTTACATATTGAATAAACTTTATAATTTGAAGCTGTCTGTTTTTGCAAAATAGTTTCATTTTTTTTTTTTTATTAATGCTTATGTTTATTTGGGAGGCTAATTCACCTCTAGGGTTCTGACAGCCTAATGATAGTGATTTGTACAAGAAAAAGAAATGAAAGAAGAATTTAAGGATTAACGGCCAGGAGTTATGATGATAATAGTAGTGCGTTTGCTATATTTCCAATTTGTCAATTTG